TCATGTAAAAGGATTTTTAACTCGGCGCATGTAGAAAGAAGTAATCTTGGCAGAAGGATTCGGTAATTTTGTTATGATAGCATTTTCTTATCGTTTTCCTCTCATATTAAGGAATGCTCCGCTTTATTTTTGCACGTACTTTCACCATGTCAAAGGGCTTTTGATTTAGTACAATCAGCACGACGAAAGTTTTGCAAGGGTGTCGATATCACGTCAACGAGATTTTCCTACAAATATTACTTTGTATTGACTTGACCAAATTAAAATGCTTTTGTATGATGAAAATATAAAAATGCAAAAATAAAGAAGATCATTCCTCACTCAAAAATGAAAACGATGTGGAACTTTTGCCATCGTGACACTGATTTCCTTTTGCAAAAATTACAGCGCACTTACTGCTCCAATTTATAAAATAAAATTACTTGCAAAAATATAGTGAAACATTGTTCAGTGCATAACAAAAATAATATCTAAAATTTCCATTGCAAATTATACAGAAAGCTTACATATTAGATAACATATTCTTCAAAACAATATTTGTAAACTGCATTTATGCGTAGAACATACTTCTCAAAAAAACTCTTTCTTTGATTCACCCAGTACACAAGCGATTTGAAAAATTCATCAGAAAAGCAGCGAAAGCCTATTTCGGAAAGAATGCGAATATCGGCAACGTGGCATTCACATTTACATAACGTCTATGTGTAAGAAAGTTGAAATGACAACGTAGTACACACACTTGCATTCATATATCTATATGTAGAAATGATGCATACATGAAAAAAAGAAAATAGCGGCATTATGTCAGCGCCTATTTGACGATCGTCTTGATAAATATCTATATGTATTTATATATACATGAAATCGGTAATGTCGATGGATAATGATAACGTTTTCTACTTTTTGACGATCGCCTCTACGTTATCGACGCTTAGCGAGTTCATCATCCACTTCAGCATTCCTTTAATTCTTTAAATGGAATCGCGTAATAAAAAATTAGAGAGAGTGAGAGGGAGAGAAAAGAAGAAGTCATTAATCAATTTAGCTTACCAATGCAAAATAAAGTACAAACCACATCTGCGTTTTTATTGCAAAGGAACTAGTTCTCTGGAGAAAAAAATTCATTTCTTTTTTCTTTCACCATCAATAATAAGTCTAAAACAACACTTGTTAAAGATAGACACGACACTTTCAAGTTCGGATAGAGAATTAAATACGAACACTCAAAGAGAAATTCTGTATTTGCGTCTTAGACTCGCAATTCTAATTTCGCTCTATATGGTTCTATATGCTATATTCTATGTGGTATCCTATGTCAATCAAGAAAAAAGAGGGAACATTTTATCCCCTTTCATAGTAAGAAAAATTAATTTTTTCCTGCAATATATTAATGGATACTTTCTGTGCGGAGAGAAGTGTAGCGTGCGAAATACCATTTGTACGTCGTTTTTATAATGAATAAAAATAAAAGTTACACTGTTCGGTTGTATCCGCCTGTCACTTTGAAACACGGCACGCCTGCTGCAAGTGGATAATATCGGTAGGCGTAATAATACTTCATCGTTCGCGAATATTCCCTCGTCCACGTGAATTATCGATTTCCTCTTCATGCCAGAGAAGAAAACTCGCAATCTAGTCGGCTGCGGAAAAAGTACTGTTTCGAAAGACATGGAATTCAGTTGGGATTGTCATTATGGCGTCACGAAGAGACTCGCAACACTCGTCGGCCTGTGGCCTTATCAGAACAAGAGAGAGAAAATATTGAGGATGGGTGTGACGATAACGGCTGCGCTTATCTTGAACATCCCACAGGTTAGAGCCTTTCTGAATGATTCCATTACACTCGTTTCTACACTCGACATTTAACTAACTACGTTATCGACATTATTCGAGTTCAACATCCCCTTAACCTTTCGTCTCTTAAGCGCGGCGAGTCGTTTGCCTCATAAATGATTTTTTTTAGAATAATTCTATCAGAAAATTTGAATAATTTTTGTGGATTTTTCTAATTAGTCTTTATGTTATAAGCTTTTGTATTTGAGACAAATTAATGCATACTATCTACAATTTTCAAGAAGATATAATTTATTTAGTTGGGGTAAGTCTTGGCAACTTATGTTTGAAAAATTAACATGGTTTACAGATATGCAAATTTATTCATTGCGACAAAGACTTACACTGCATTTTTGGAACTGTCCCGGGTTACTTATTTGTAATCGTGATTCTGTTAAAGATAAAAACATACATCTTGAAGAGTAACAGAGTACGTGATTGCCTCGCTTGAAATAGCGTCGAACTATTTTTGCACCTTCGTGTCAAATAGTATAATGAAATTTAATGTTTGTCAACTGTGTTACATTTAGATTAAGACTCTTACCGATCGCGTGTTTACCGATTGGGAGAGATTGCAGAGTTCACAAGAATACGAAATCATGAAAACTTACGTTGGGAATGCAAGATGGACTGTCTGTATGTATTTCGGTAAGAACGCGAACGGATAAGTCTTTGATCTTCTTCGCTTCCACAATCGACTATCAGTGAACATTTGTTGCAGCCCTTTGTTTTATGGGAACCGCTATATTCGTGTTTGTGTCTCTGGTACCGCACATACTAGACGTCGTATTACCACTTAACGAATCCCGCCCTATAATATTACCTTACGAAGCTTATTACTTTGTTGACGAAAGGAAATATTTCTTTTATATTTTCTTGCAAGGTAGCATAGCCCTTCTTATAATTGTAATGTCACTTGTCGCTTACGACACCATGTTTATGAGCTTCGTCGAACATATCTGTAGTATCTTCGCCGTGGCCGGGTAAGAATAACATGCGTGTGTATTTATCATTTAGGTCCGATTCCAACGTCGACCGGATCTTGATCTGAGTTTGAGTCTTTGTTTCAAATAGTTTAAACGCGGTTTGAGGTATGACCGACGTTGGTGGAATCGGGCCTTAATATAATAAATTGATCTTACGACGTCGCGTTATAACATACAGATTCCGTTGCGAGCATTTGGTAAATAAGGATGTCGATATAGTTAAAATTGTTAATAACGACCTGGGTGACATGCACAATAAAAGAATGGCGCGCTGCGTGAAGGTGCATTGGGCGGCTCTAGAGTAAATATGTAACATTATATATTGTACATTGTATCATAGTCCTGCCGCTACACAAACATCATTATCGTAATGCGTTCATGCTTCAGATTCGCGGAACATCTTGAAGATACTTTCTCAATAGATTTCGGTATAGAGTTAGTGTTAGTGACAATAGCAATGAGTATTACATTATATCAAGTACGTACCTAATTTTTAAGGAATATATATATGTATATATATATATTTAAAAAAAAAATGTATATATATATATATATATATTACGACTTTCTTATATATCCTCTTATACACCTGCAATTTTCGTGTAGATAGATATGATTGATTATATTTATAATTATAATCAGGTTACAAGACCAGATATTACATTTTTTGTTGTTAAGGTCACGTTACAATCAGATGACAGCTTAGAAGCTTTGAGGTACTTAATCTATGTAATCATACAATTTGTTCACATGTTCGTCTTTTGTTGGGAAGGCCAAAGACTGATAGACCACAGTCTGCTAATACATGACAAGATGTAAGAGAAACGTAAAATTTCGAAATAATTTCTTTATAAACAAACGGTAAAATATTTGTTAGTTAAAAACAGTATTCATAAAGTTTTAACTTTTCAGATACAGCTGTAGCTGGTATAAAAAACCTGCGAAATCGCAAAGATTGATCATGCACGTGTTAAAAAGGAGCTTGCAACCCAAATTTTTAAGTGGTGGCAGAATGTTTATTTTCTCTTTGCAGGGCTTCACCACGGTAAGGAAACAATTATCGTAATGTAATTTATTAAAATTTAATTCATTAATTTCATATTATATTTAATTTTATATTAGAATTTTATATTTGATTTTTATTAGAATGTATATATTTTATATTACGTCGCACTGTTTTACCCTTTAAGAACTCTAAGGTTGTTGCTTTGAAGGTAGTGCAAACATCGATGTCGTACTTTACTGTGCTTTCGTCCGTTTAATAACCAACTAATCTTTAAATAATGCTTCCGAGGACTTGTAATGATGTAAGCACCGTTATATGTTTTTTTATTAGAGACCAACTGATAGACTATAGTCTGCAAATGTGTCACAAGATATAAGACAACTGCAAATGTTCCGAAATAATTTCTTAATAAACAAGTTCAAACGATGAAGCATTTGTTAGCGGAAACTTTGTCAACGATTGTTACGTCCTAATTTGGTACTGATACAGCTGATACAGCTGTAAGATACTCGTGAAATCGCAACAACTGGTCCTGCATTCCAAAAAGACTTCAATATCTTTACACTCTAATATGTCTAGTTTATGAAAAAAAAGAAAAAAGTTTATGTAAGAATAAAATATTATTTTTTATATGCATAATATATATATATATATATACAGGGTTGGCAAAATGTCCAGAAACGGTCGGCAAAAAGTTCGGAAACGTTCAGATATCTCGAAAAGGATCAACTGTAGCGAAAAATATGCAAGTAGCAAAGTTGTAGGGCTTAATAAAATGTACCTAATGATGGCTAAAAATTTGACTTTGGGTGAAGGACGAAGGTCATACGAAGGTCAAATTGAATTTTTTAAATTGGACCCCCAGTTTTTATTACATATTCTTGTAACTTATTTCAAGGGCTTTCCAAAAACCTATAATAAAGTATTTTTTTATTAGGCATATTTAGAATTATGAGGCTTGAAAGGCTTTTGGTCTTTAACTGTTTCTGCTTCGTAAAACCGTATCGCTGTCTTCTGAACGTTGGATTTAGAAATAGGATTGCGATCAGGATATGTAGCATTGAATCAGATCAGCTACTTCTTGATATGATCTAATGCGGTCTCCAAATCCTCGATAAATAAGCAGCATTATTTTTTCTTTTTCGGTTAACATTTTCGAAAAAGAAATTTGAAACTGTAATTGGAAAAAGAAAGAGAAAAGACAGAATGAGATACGAGAGAGCGCGACTCGTTTTTTAAAATACAAAGATCGAGAAGCGTTATCGAGAAGCGCGGGTATGCGCGAATTTCGACTGAGTACGTATGATATTACGTCGTGAATGAATAACCGCGATGAGAGCGAATGTACAACTAAGTCGTCTAGCTCGAGACACGAAAAACAAAGTTATTCTTATTTTTCTCCTGTGTTTATGTTTTTTAGGCTCCCAGCCTAGTTGTTCATTCGCTCGCATCGAAAGTGATTAATCATTCACGACAAAATATCACACGTGCACAGTCAAAATTCGCGCATACCCGCGCTTCACGATAACGCTTCTCGATCTTTGTATTTTAAAAACGAGTCGTGCTTTCTCGCATCTTACTCTTTGTCTTTTCCCTTTTTTTTCCAACTACAATTTCAAATTTCTTTTTTCAAAATGTTAACCAATAAAGAAAAGATAATGCTCTTTCTTTATCGAAAATTTGGAGACCATATTAGATCATACGAAGAAGTAACTAATCTACATATTCAATGCTGCATATCCTGACCGCAATTTTATTTCTAAATTCACCGTTCAGAAGACAGTGATACGTTTTTACGAAACAGAAATAGTTAAAGACCAAAATCCTTTCAAGTCTCATAACTCTAAATATGCCTAATAAAAAAAATACTTTATTATAGGTTTTCGGAAAGCCCTTGAAATAAGTTACAAGAATATGTAATAAAAAGTGGGGGTCCAATTTAAAAAATTCAATTTGATCTTCGTATGACCTTCGTCCTTCACCCAAAGTCAAATTTTTAGCCATCATTAGGTACATTTTATTAAGCCCTACAACTTTGCTACTTGCATATTTTTCGTTACAGTTGATCCTTTTCGAGATATTTGACCGTTTCCGGACTTTTTACCAACCGTTTCCGGACTTTTTGCCAATATATATTTGTAATAGATATTATTTGTGAAACGTATTATTCATTTAAAACCAATATTTTTATGTTTAAATGTTGCCTTGTAAGTTGTGTTTAGTTAAGCTGAGTTATCAAAGTATAAAAGATATTAATTTGAGGTCATCCTAGTAATATGCGTATTTAATAAAGTCATTAAAACCATTAACGCAACAAGAGAATTAAATAATTATCATTATATTTTATCATAGAGATGACACGATGCTAACATTATTTCGCTAACTAGTTCGCGTCTTAGAATCGTCTTAGAATAGTATTATAAAAATAACAAATTCTTTTTGCAACTTTTTTCCGCCGAAATTGTTATTTTTATCATACTAGAGGATTTCATATGTCATTTGGATGATATCCTTGCTGAGTTAGTCATGGGGTTTAATGGGTTAATAAGTAATTAAAGAAGAATTTGTGTATTATGTATATACATTTTACATGGTTTCAAAATAAATTTATTTTTAATGAAAAGTTGATTTCTAAAGATATGTTTGGCTTAGAAAATTGTTGAAAATTGTGTTAAACGGGATGCTCAGTATCGATATTTGTACTGAAACAATTTTAATAAAAAATGTTTAATATAACGGATATTAATAAAAAAATATTAATAAAAAATATTAATAAAAATTAATACAGCGGAACAATAAAACATCTTATTTAAAAATACTGACACTGCTGTAAGAACGTTGCCACACTATAATGCGTTTTTACTACGAGTATAGATTCGCGGAACATCTTGAAAATACCTTTTCCTTAAATATCGGAATAGAATTACTGTTAGTGACGATAGCAATAAGTATTACATTATTTCAAGTACGTACCTAATTTTTGGAAATATTTACGATATTCTTATACCTTCAATCTTGGTGTAGTACAATGCTTGGAACTAGATGCACATTTCGATGTGATGAGTTTATCGATGCATGCGATAACAATCCAATTCCGTCACTGATGCAGTGAGGTGTCACCGATTACGGTTCTAATTATAATCAGGTTAATAAAATCAGATTTACGAAATATTACGTTGCGATCAGGCGACACCGTGGAAGCCATGAGATATATACTTTATGTATTAGCACAAATTCATTTATTCACATTTTGTTGGAAAGGCCAAAGATTGATAGATCACAGTTTGCTAATGCGTGACAAAATGTAAGAGAGACGTAATAATTTTGAAACAATTTCTTGGTAAATAAGTTCAAGTAGTGAAACATTTGTTAGTTGAAAACAACACTCGTAAAATCCTAAAACTTTGTAGATGCAGTTGCACCTGGTATAAGAAATCTGCAAAGTCGTAAAGGCTAATTCTGAACGTACAACAAAGAAGCCTGCGACCCAAGTTCTTGAGTGCTGGCAAGGTGTTTATTTTTTCTCTGCAAGGTTTCACCACGGTGAGGAAAGAATTATTGTAGATATAATTCATTAAAATCAAATGTATTTAGTTTGTTACGTGCATGCCGTATTAAGTTTCTTTAAAAACTCTAATGTTCTTATCTTGAAGGTAATATAAACAATGTCGTATTGTACCGTGCTTTCGTCCGTCCAGTAAGCAACAATTAATATTTAAATAATGTTTCCGTGGATTTATAATGTTATAATGTAAAAAGGTTCGAGAAATTATATACTATATATGTGTATGTATGCATATGTATATATGTATATGTACAACCTGATATGTCCAGTTCTATGAAGCAATATAAAATACTATTTTTTACACAACATTCATAATAATATCCATTAAAAATCTATTTTTATTATACTTAAGCATATTGTGTTATAAGTTTTGTTGCATTAAACTTGAGAAATTTCAAAGCATTAAAGATGATAATTTAAGATCATCCTTATTGTAATGCGCGTATTTAATAAAATCATTAAAACTCCAAACCTTATGAGAGAAATATATAATTATAATTAGCGCTTATCACAGAGGGAGAGAAAAAGAGAAGGCATTAATCAATTTAGTTTACCAATGCAAAGTAAAGTACAAACCACATCTGCGTTTTTATTACAAAGGAACTAATTCTCTGGAGAAAAAAATTCATTTCTTTTTTCTTTCACCATCAATAATAAGTCTAAAACAACACTTGTTAAAGATAGACACGACACTTTCAAGTTCGGATAGAGAATTAAATACGAACACTCAAAGAGAAATTCTGTATTTAGGTCTTAGACTCGCAATTCTAATTTCGCTCTATATGGTTCTATATGCCCTATTCTATATGGCATATTCTATGTGGTATGCTCTGTCAATCAAGAAAAAAAAGGGAACATTTTATCCCCTTTCATAGTAAGAAAAATTAATTTTTTCCTGCGATATATTGATGGATATTTTCTGTGCGGAGAGAAGTGTAGCGTGCGAAATACCATTTGTACGTCGTTTTTATAATGAATAAAAATAAAAGTTACACTGTTCGGTTGTATCCGCCTGTCAC